GCTTCCGTCTTCGTTCGTAAAGAATAATAATAATGGTATTAACAGATTGGTTATGATAATAGAAAATCTGTTCTTAAGTTTGCCATATTTTTTTGCAAAAGGCAAAAAATGTTGGTCCACATGACTGATGTTCTCCCACTGTTCCTGTTGTATGGTCACTGCATTGTAGTATAACAAAAATCTTAGCCTTAGCAACGCCTGGCCGGGTCAGCTAGTACTGTATGTAAATTTTTGTAAACATATATATTTTGTATATATAATGTACATATATTTAAAATTTTGTAACTTCATCACATAACTTGAAACCGGCAATACCATTAACTGTTTTTAACCATGGAATTTTTTACTTCCAGCCTATTTGGAAACACGAGAGGAATACTTAGCGCTAATAGTTTTTTTTAACCACCCTAAAAAACTCAAATTTTCGGCATATAAACAAATATAAATATAAAAATATTGACTTTGCATTCAAATAGCAATTATCAATTGATTGCTATGGGTACACAAGAGCAGCATATTGCTGCAATATATAAATAAACAATTATTTATCGTTAAAATGTTTTAAATAAATAAACTAATCTGTTGCAGTAGCTGGAGGATTACATAAAATATACAATAATAGTCATTGGAAGTATCTGAGAATGACGGTCATATTAATCAAGAGAAAGGGGGAAAGGGAAGAGAGAGGAAGAGAGAGAGAAAGAGAGAGAAAAAGAGAGAGAAAAAGAGATTGATTGGTTACATTGTTCCTTAACCTCGTCACAACACAACACTCACTTACTGTTATATATTTACTTCACAAGATCAAAACTCGCTTCGGTACATTTTTGTATTAGCTGAGAAGTTCTTTCTGTTCGCCAATGATCCAACTTCATTGGTTACGTAAAATTAACGACCCAATCTGACCCTCTAATTCTGATCTGCATACTTTAATGAATTTTGTTTTGCATAATTACGCTGCCTGGTTTTTTTTTTTTTGCTGGAAATGTGTGAAATGTGTGTCTTTTCAAAATTATAAACAAAGTCCGTATAACTGATAGATTATAACTACTTACATGCTCTTCAATGCTGAATAAGAGAGATTAGTTAGAGTTATAGTGAACTTGTTAAGGAAAGAACACTCCACTAGTGTAGTTTATTATTCAGTTCTTTCTGTATATACAATAATAGTGACTGATAGCTTAGAGGGTCAGTTCCCTCACCCAATCTCTGGCATCTCACGTTGAATCCACTTCACATATTAACAGAAGGGCAGGTGACGTGGTTAGTACCTACGCCCATGCTAGAGCCGTAGCAGATAGAAGCGAGTTTCCACAAACCTTGAGGGATCTAATGCGGGTAATACTTCGCAGGGAATCATCTCGGCCCAGTCTATGCGGACTCGGTGTTACCTCTTATAACGCGGAGTTTGGCCAGTTCGCGAGGTAAAAATATAAAATCCAGCCAATTACTCCACCGGTTCAAAGTGTAACTTGCTTAAAATTGCCTAAGAAATTTGATATTCCATCTGGAAGTGTCAAACTTTACACAGAAAGTTCAAAACTCAGTGGTAGAGTGAAAAGAGGTATTTTCTTAAATAACTCCTCCACGGAACTCGGAATAAGCGACCATTGTAGCATTTCACAGGCAGAAATCTCAGCTATTGTGGAAACTATTAATTATACTGAAAACAGATACTCAGGAAGAGAATACTTCATTTTATGCAAAGAAAGCTTTGGACTTAAACGCCACAAACTCTAAAATAGTGCTAAAATCACTAACTCGTTTAAGTTCCTGGACACAGAAAATCTGCTGTTGTTGTTACTGCTGTTATTGTTGGCGGTTTAGCTTACGGACAACGTCCAGATAAATTCTGATACATAGGACCAATTTTCATGGGAGGCGAACTGCAAAAGAGCCGAACGTGCGACCAAGTAGATTCTTCTGGATAAAGAACGCGGACGTCTGCCTCTAACCGCATGGAATTAGCTAGTAAATATATATTTTCACACAGAGTTTGCTTTAAGGTGGAAGAAATTTTTCCTGTCGTAAGTTGGTCGAAACGACACTGCACGTTTCCTTATAGCGCGGCATTCAGAGGTTCTAACAGCTCGTTTCAACAGATTCTGTAGGCAGACGCAAAACGATGAGAACCTAAATAATTCATGAGAGTGTCCAAATGGATGGGAAATGAGCTATCCGTTCAAAACACAAACTTTTCGTGGGACACTGGGCCTTTTTTGGCCTAAGAATAAACAAAATACAAATTTTTATCGAGACAATTTTTAAGACTTAATTTATTATTATTATTTTTTTTTTTGCAATAAATCTTTGATTAACGCATTTTATTTTATTATACATATTTTTTAATATATTTTTTTTTTCTTTTATTTTTTAGTTATAAATTTTTTGTAGAAGTAGAATTTTCATTTGGGTCTTATTTTTGAATTTTTATTTCTTTGTGAGTTTAATTTTTTACTCTCTCCATTTTTACCAAAAAACAAAAAAAAAAAAAAAAAAAAAATCGACTTACTATTATTATTTTTTAATTACAATATAATCGCAGTTTGCTTGAAATGATTGAAATCTCTGTCTGTCTCTCCGTCTGTCTGCCTGTTGGTTGTCAACAAAATGTTAATCTGCGCAAATGTAAATAAAAGACGATTAAGCACGCTCAATCAATGCGTGTGGCAAAAAGCACGCACAATAATAATAACAAACTGCAACAGCAACAGCAACAACAACAACAACAACAGCAACAATCAGCCACAAATAGCAATATGAAATGAAAAGTAAATGAATTGCAATTCAGTTGCAGAAATAAATTGAAAAATTTACCATAAAGCATAATACCGTTGCGCTGCCATTGGGGCATTGCGATCGATTTCGATTTGTAGTGGAATGCAACGCTACGTCATAATGATTGCAGCAAAAAAAAGGAACAGAAAATTACAATTTCAAATAACGATTTTCCACAAGCATTACAAATCTAATGCAATGTAATCCAGTGCACATACATAAATATGTGCATAAGCACTCACACAGCTGCAAATAAATATGTGCGTGTGCAAAAATGTATAAATTGCAAATGTGCATTACCAACACTGTATGTGCGACAGAGAGAGAAAGAGAGAGGGAGAGAGAAAGGGAGAGTAAGTACAGATGGTGACTTTGATTTTGTTCCGAATATATATGTGTATATGTTTTAAAAAATTTATCTGTGTATGTGTGCATGTGTATGTATTTTTGCTACCTTAAATCGGAGTGAAATTATTTTGCAATCTGCTGTATGAAATGCATTTATTCTTATGTATACTTACTTTCGTGTGCGAACCTGGTTCTGTATTAGCCAGAAAGCTTACAAACATGTGTACTTAATACTTATATACTTATATTTCTATATACTTATATTATGTATCATATAACAGTGTAAGAATATGAAACAAACAATTGTAGCTTTTATTAAATTGGAAAAACATGAAAGCTTTCAAGCACACACACTCACACACACACATGTATATTTGCGCCGTTGATAAATATGTTGCCAACTCAGGCGTAAATTGTAAGACAAGAACTGATATGACAGCGTCTTGACGTTAGTGGCGCTACGGAATGACAACGCAAAATGCAACGTCTATGGTGCGTGCTCACCTCTGGAAGGGTAATCAGAACAGATGCGTTCGGTCCAATAAAACACCGCTCATTCTTGATACCCGCAAATGCAGCGCCCTAAACAGCCGGCTTGAGGTTTTATAATATTTTGCGCTTCTTCTTCCTTTTCATCCCGATTGGCGTAGCAACGGCTAATGCGGTTGTAGAAGTGACATTTGGATTTTTTTTTTGTTGTCATTTGGAAACTCCAAGTATAGAAAGCCAGCTCTCACCAGATTCTTCCAATGGAATGGAAGTCTCCTGCGGCACTCGGCGTTGCAAATATAGAAAATGATTATGTGAACGCATTAATATCGTAATTTTTCTCTATTTTATGAAACTGGACAGAAATGGTGAAGGATTTATCGGGCATTCTCTTTATTCGTCGAGAGATGGTTATACTTTAAACTAATCACTCTGTGCGACCTGTTGGTAGTAAGGTTTCGGCGTTTAAAGTCCAGGCTAAGGATGTTGCTTTCAAGATGAACGAAATTATGTTCGACTTAGTTTTTTTATCCAAACAGAGCAAGGAGCAAACACTCAGCGCTGGCAATGCCTCTGCGCGGTTATCTAATATCTAAGCCACTTTGCCTCTTTACCTCTCTCTCTCTCTCTCTCTCTCTGTCAAGTTTACTTCCCAATAATCCATTGATGAAATACATATGTATGTATTTACAATAAAATTCTGATTTTCCCAAACTGCAATTGCAAACAACGAAATATTCGAAAATTCCACGTGAAACAAATTAGAGCAACTTTTCTCAAAGTTTTCAAAAAGTTCACATTACAACGCTGCCATTCGCCATGTAAAAAGAATTGGAAGAAAATCAAATAAAAGAAAAACAAAATTCAGACAAAAATAAATAAGTTTAAAATTCACTACCGTTAGCCGGTTTGTATGCGCTTCCGTAGCGAATAAAGAGAAAGTGACAGAAAGACAAATCAAAATAAGACGTTTGCTCAGAAACTTTTACCGCTATGCCGACAAACTGCTTACCATAATAAAACGGAATGTCACTTTGTTGTCCTTTACAGCACAGTTTGATACAAAAACTTTTCTTCGTGCAACAGCAACAACAACAAGCATAATAAGAAGAACAGCACCAACAGCCAAAGAATAAAAAAGAAGCAACAAAGAAATACAAATTGAAAGTGGAAAAAATTGCCAGCACAATAGCAAAGCCAAACGAAGAGTGCAGTGACAGCAGTGGGCGTGGAAGACAAAAGGCGGTGTGGGTGCGGAGCATGAGGCAGCGAGTCAAACAAAGTAAATAAGTCTTAATAAGGCGACTGGCAGAGAGAGGGAGAGTGACAGCAGCGGCATTGTTGAAAAATGTAAGAAACTAGAAAAACGCAAGAACAACAACAACAACAATAATAACAACAACAAACAATAACAACAGACATCAGTTGAAAGACCCGACCGCCGACAGCGAAATGCGGTGTAAGTAAGAAAGTGTGTGTGCAATTTCAAGGCGCTGCTGCATGCATGCTTCATGCTTGAATGCAGGTAAGTAGGCAACAACAATCAATTTTGGGCAACTTGAGCAACTATTGTGCGCTGACAAATTGCGGCAAACGCATACACACACAATTACACCGCAATAACTGCACACCATACTCGTATACCGTCTTTTTTTTTTTTTTCTTTTCAAACAGGCTGCACTTGGCAAGCGTGTATATATATGTGTGTGTGTAGATAAGTAAGTGTGTGTGGGTGCGCTAGTTATACAAACAATTACCGCAGACCGCCGCATCCACTTGAGGCAGCCCAATGTGGCAACAATAGCTATGAACATAACTGTACCTGTGATCGTGGTGGTGTGTGTATGTATGTGTCTACATATACATACACATGTCTATTGCATACGAGCAAAACCTCACACAAAAGTGAAAAGCTCAATGGCAATCTTGTGCTTAAGGTGCACAATAAGCAATTCGTTGAAGCACCATTTCACTTCAACAACTTTTCTATGCTTGACGTATGTATGTATGCGTGTATGCAGGTATGCTATTAGAATGAGAGTTCCTGCAGGGAAGGGCACTATTTGGTATTATAACTAACTAGTATATCTTTCATAATTTCTTTTGTAATTCCGACGACTTTTACACAGCAAAGTTGCGCATTTATCCATCAGCTTTGAACTAGTTAAATACTATTTAATTATGCGAACAGTGACGTATCTGGTAAAAAGAAACGCGTCACATCAGCGGTGTATCGATCACCCCTTTCACCTACCTTCTTTTGCAGCTGATTTTAAAATGAATAGTAGACTGATATGATTTCATCAATAAAATAATTTATTCCCCATAAATTTAGTTTTTCCCTGCAGGGAAACCCTTTAACCTACACATACGAAGAAATAATTTCTGCAAACTATTCGCAACCAAGTCTCATAAAAGATCCCACTGAGTTATGTGTTTAAATGGTAGAAAGTTGCACTCGACAGAGTAACGGTTAGAGGAAAAATACTGTGTGTTACAGGTAAACATAAACTTTCAAAAAATTGCGTATAAGGAATTAGGCTCATTAGAAAGTTAAAAATGTAGATAATTCAGAAAAGAAAAATTTTGTATTCTTTCACTTCAAGGTATGTGACAGAAATCATAAAGAGAAAGCTGTAAAATTCTGTATGAAAAATTCAAGAACCTGAAAGCTGATCGAACCTTAGTATAAGGGCACCAGAGAATACAGAAAAAAAATTTGAAAGTCGAAGACTGATCACGCGTGCCATTCATTGGAAAGCTAGTAAAGGATTGACGCACGAAAAGGAGCTGTATTATTACAGTTGTGTCTGAGTTTGGTTCTATCACGCTGAGCTATACCAAAAAGTCCTTTAAGACCGAGAAGGATATATGTATACAAGCCATTCGATAAATGTGGTTTAAGACTTCTGAGGAAATATGCGAGAAAGAGAGCAAAACTGGTAAGGTATAATATTCAATAAAAGCCAAATCCAACGAAAAGTCTCTTTTGAAGTTACTGTGCATGCTTCCACATATATATATTTTAAAATTTAAAACGGGTTTCCTACATTGGCATCCATTTCTTTGTTCTTCTTCCACTTTCAAGGATTTTGATGCGCATATTATAAAACGATTGAAAAATTATTATTTTTTCTTAAGTGTAAAGATAACGTTGCCTACATTTAGGATTTTTAAGATAACCAATGAAGTTTGAATCCATGGTAACGTTTAGCATTCTTATAGCCTATTTCCACCGGACGTTAAATGCATTTAAGCTTAAATGCATATAAGCATCGCATTTAAATGCGGTAATTCCCATGTGGTTGTTGTTGTATAAAATTAAATTAACTCACTTTCGGCAATTTAACAGAAAATGTTATGTCAACAGTCGATGCTGTCACTACTAATGTAATCATTTCGGAAGTTTCGGTGTATTTCTTGCCAGAGTCGTGTATTTTCGGATTTAATGAGGGGCGAGACTTTTATTTTGCATGGTGAAATTTTTAGTGTAAAAATTACTTTTTTGCATTAGTTTTAAAATAAATGCCTATATTAAGTAATTAGCGAAGAAAACGCTGCTTCTCCTTAAAAAAAAATCTATGAGAAAAAAACAAAAAGCAATTGTGAAATATCAAACGATCCCCTCAACATAAAAATATACGTGGCTCTGGCACCTATCAGCTGAATGCCAAAATAAATAATTTGAGGGAACAAACAAGCAAATATGAAAATGGAAACATGCATAAAAATATTTTCGTTTCAGCAAAGTTTGCCCGTGCAGAAATAATCTGAACTTTCAAATCATAAATGAAGGCGGTTTCTTGAATTCATGATTTCAATAATTGTGACAAATTTTGCAAACTGCAAACGTAAACAAAAATCAGCTGTTTGAGTTAACTCACTTTCGGTGGAAACGTTTGACATTTCATTCACTTAACAGAGGCCTTAAATGCATTTAAGTGCTTGGTGGAAATAGGCTATTATTCTTATTTTTGTCATTTCGACAAACAAACTACCGAAACCACAACAAATAATAAATTTTCGAAATAATTTGGACTTAAAAATAATTTTAAATATTCGAATATTTCTCTCTTTAATTTTTATATTCAAACAGATTAATATTTTGCTACTCAGGATTGGGAAATTTTCAATTTCAAATAAATAAGATATTTATGGAATCTGTATCAAAAATCAATAACATATACCAGATTCACTTCTCAGTGTGTCTGTGGTAAGCCAAGGCTGACACGAAGACTGTTATCAATGAAATTATACAAAACTCAAGGCCCATAACCCACGAACTCAAATGTCGGTCCTCCACAAATGCACTTATTTTCCTAGAATTATCATAAAAGTAAAGTCGTAAGGCCGCTACCTCCTAACTAACGGCACCGCGAAAATACTTTATGTCTGAAAAGAAGTGAGATAAAAGTATCCAACGATTAAAGGAATGAGTTCGGTGACATTTAAATTGAACTCCCTACCAACCCATACAACTTCCCTGCGATGTGAATATATTTTCATTTTTGGGATTTTCGCCGCAACACTTTTACCTAAACTAGCGTAGCGAAGCGTGACGTTAATGTGTGTATCATACGAATCGGTAATTATTCAATTAATTTTTAAACAGAGAAAGATCACCTATACCTTGAGGCCAAAGTATTATTGAAGGCCACAAAGAAGTGGCGAAATTGCTTCTAGCTCTTGACTCTCATGCAAGGTGAAAAACAATAATTTCTTTTTTGATAGACAATAAATAAGCAAAAGCATTTACTCAAGCTTTGGAAATGAGATTCTCTCGTAATTTCTCGTAATTTCTCGACAAACTTATCCATCAAAATGGGTAATTGGATTTTCAACAAAGCAATTCACTTATCAGCATTTACGTACCTACAATATGTTTGCATGTATGTTTGTATGTCTGTAGGCAGATTGATATCTTTGCACTTAATTGAATATGTCTAAAGAGCCCCTTGATTGTAGGCATATGAATAATGACAGTCAAACATATAAACACACACAAACTAACAATAGAAAAGTACATACATACGCACACAAGCGTGTGCCTTATTGCAGCGGCTGGCAGCTGTCACAAACACATCATTAACAATCAAACCAAAAGGGGCCAGCTAAGGTTGCAGAGAGAGAGGAGAGGCATTTCATTTTGTAAGCAAAAATTTTCCATGCAAATAAATGATTTTCTATTTGTATTACTTTCTATATGAGACTAAGTGTGTTTGTGTGTGTGTGTGCCTCGCAGCCACAATAAATTTATCAAATGTGCCATGGCATAACAACTTACTGGCAATACCAACAATCCGACCGTATAAAACGGTAATAAAAAAGTAGAGAAAAAAGTGGCGAAAATAACGGTAAAGTTAAAACAATTGGCAATCGCATGCAACTTCTCGCCACAACAATCAAACAACTTTGGTGGCAGCAAAATGCCAATATGAGCACACGCACACACACAACTACACATACACTGGCATACAATAAATTCGCACCATTTTCAACAACTATGTAAGTTTGTATGTATGTGTGCTCAACTAATATTATTCATGCATGCAACAATATCAATAAAAGTCAAAGCGACAGATTGGGCTGTGCGCAGACTGACACTGGAAAGTGGAGCGAAGCGGCAAAAAGTTGCAAACAAATGCGAGCGCTGACTGGGCGGAAGCGTGGGAAACTACAAAACCATGTCTATCGAGAACTAAAAAAAAATTATTTTTTGCTTTGGAAATGACAAAAAATTCAAAAATTCACTAGTTGAAGCCAACAATAACAGCTATGCAAGAGTTGCACTGGCAAATTGTAAGCGAATGCGAAAGCAATAATGCAGCATAACAAATAAACTCATTTAGATCGGCAAATCATACAAAAGCGTATGCATTAGGGTGGGGCAAAAATATTCTTAAATAATTACGTTGTGAAATTTTTAGATATTTTCAGCTTGGAATGAGTGGAAGTATTGAAACTTAATTTTACCAATTTTATTTTATACAGTTTTATAAGTAAATAAGTTTGATTAAGTACAATTCACGTAGCGGTTAAGCTCAAATTCGAAGTATTTTCGCAAGCTTTTACCCGCAATCTCTTTCGCAAGGAGTTTGAAAATTATGTTTTTTGGAGTGTTGTGGCTGTAGCTGCTGATCAGTGACAAAGGCATTTAAGCCAGTAGGCATATTGTAATATTACTGTGATGCTCTCTCCTTTACCCTCTCAATTGCTCGAACTGTCCCGTGTGCCTTATATAAGTAAAGAAATCAACAGAGCTTCTCCTCAACTCGTTTTTTCATAGTCAGGTATTTTCCATCGTTAAAATTGCAGCATTCTGGTACGCATTCTCCGGGTATTCCCTTTCCAGTGCCATTCGGCAGGCTGGCGAAATCTTCGTAAAATTTCTAAGCATAACCTTCGTTCGCTTCTCAAACTATTCATACTCACACATCTCGGCCTCTTTCTTATTTTTTATTTTTTTTTTTTGTCTGCACATGAGTCTTGCTTTCCAGCGACACCTCTGCAGCCCAGACGTTGCAATTACATCTCATCAAATCCTTAAACCGGAGTGGCTCCACTGAAGCTGTCTCTCGTTCAGCCGCTTCACTGAGATTAGAAACTTCCTTTTTATTGGTCCCGACACTAACCTTTCTTAACTTCAAAGCAATAAGAGAGGTGCTAGGGTTCTTACGACGGTGTTCAAAAAGTATCGCGAACTTTGAATTTTCGCGGGTTACGTAAAATCGAATTTCGATTTTTTTGCGGCGTTATGTTGGTACTCATGTTTGTCACTTATGCCGACAAGCTCGGCCATTTCGAATGTTCACTTCATTGTTGACAGCGCCTTTGCTTGCACATGTTTTGGATGGTCTTCGATTTTTACCTTTTCAAAAAAATGGACCAATGAGCCTGTATAAAATTTTTTGTGAAAAACGAAATTAAGTGCGAGGATGCATTCCGAATGTTGACTGTGTACGGAGAAGCTACCTTTGACCAAAGGAACGTTTATGGGTGGTACAAAATTTTCTCAGAAGGCCGAGAAGATGTGAACGTCGAAGAGCGTGCCGGACGCCCGAGCACTTCAACAAGTAGCGCTCGGATTTGTGGAAGAACAAAAATTGGCTTTTGCACCACGACTTTTTGGCCAAAACAACACGCTAATGATGCCGCAGCTACCGTATTCCCCAGATTTAGCCCCCTGTGGCTTTTTCTTGTTCCCTAAACTGAAGAGGCCCATGAAAGGACGACGTTACGCTACGATTGACGAGATAAAGGCGGCATCGAAGGAGGAGCTGAACAAGATAAAAAAAAATGATTTTTTGAAGTGCTTCGAAGATTGAAAAAACCGTTGGCCCAAGTGTATAATATCTCATGGGGATTACTTTAAATAAATAAATAACTTTTGAAAAATACACAAAATTCGCGAAATTTTTTTAACACACCTCGTATTTTCAACTAAGTAAAGTTCATGAGAGAAGGTAAACACGCATTTCTCGAATATGGAGTATGTCTAGTCTCTCTTTTCTATAAAGAAATGCGTACTGAATATCATTAAAGCGGTGCTTTTCTTCCCAGCTCCTGAAGCAGCAAAATGATTATGCACAGACCATACTTTATTTGTAGCCAATCCAGTACCCTTATTACGGAAAATCTCGTTTGGTCAGACAGTTATGTTTGAGAGATCCCAATATACAACCCTGTATTTTTGAAACTAGGAAATGGATAACCCTATTAAATGTATGTCAAATAATTAATTCACTATTGTTATAAGAAAAAGCGAAATTTTTCCGCATGAAGAGCACATTTTTTTATTGGATCGCAAACTTTCTTTGCCTCAATACAAGCGCACATACATACATTCGTACATACATATATACATATGTTCAACCATAAAAACTTGCATGCATGCACACATACGCGCACAAGACTAACAAAAAATGCACACATTCATATATAC